ATCACGGGTACATTCTCGATTCTCCTTTTAATCCGGAAGCGATTTCTCTCGCTTTATTTTTTTGTCACGATGGCCGCGTCCATTATTCATTCGCAAATTCGACGTTTATTCGCTCGATATCGTGCCGCCGATAAATTCCTCATTCGTAGCGCGTGCAATTTGCATAACTCGATGTCGTCCTTCGTGCGTCGCGCGGATATAAATTATTGGCCCGTGTAAATCATCCGTACGAAACACGCCCGCGAGAGAGCGAGAGAGAGAGACGAGAGATGACTAAACCCTTGGGAATTTCTTTCCTCTCTCTTTTCTCCTTCCCTCTTTGGATTGGCATGCGAGTCTCTTCCGTCAGGCTCGTCTTTAGGTATGCACCGACGATGCAACCGCACGCGCTTCGGCAGGAATAGCAAGAATGATTAATTCGATAAAGAAGCAGTTTTATCGAACTCAAATGTATTATCGGTCTTCTAACTTGCCCGAGGGTATATTCAAGTTTCGTATTTTAATGAAGTATATAAAAATAATAAATCGGAAAGATTATTTTACAGATTGATTACAGTAGAAAATAAATATATTTTTATGATAGGAGATGCATCACACATTAATTAATATTAGATTTATAATATTTTTAGCGCTTTTCCGCGTTTGGATATCTTAATAGGTTTGAAGTCAGGAAAAAAAAAACAGTTTTCTTTAAGCAAAATCTCTTATCTGAGTGCACTCTCATAGCATCAGCAACACGCCAATGTCGTTCAAGTTTCCCTGTCTTTTCCATCCGTTTCCTGCGAAACCGTCGACTTTTATCGGCACGTCGGTGTCGTGCGTTGCGTTTCCATCGGAGTAACAAGTTTCACGGACCAATGGATCTGCAGTCGAAATTAAATTGCACTCCGGGGAGTTGGCGATTACTCACTTTCTGCGCGATACTCTGCGCGCGACCATCGCCTGTCGATAATTGAGTATCGGTTTTGTACGTAATAATAGCGAGAGGGCTTACATAGGGAATGTATACGTGTGTACATTTACGCTCGCGCGTGCGCGCGCGCGCGTCTGTATATGTGTACACACATATGTGTGTGTACAGGTGCATAGCTGGCGCCGAATAATTATGCGTTACAATGCCGGCCGCAGTTCTGCAATTTAATATTTTCGGAATATCGAAAAGAAAATCCCACAAAATAATCAATACACGTGCACAGTTGAAAGCGAATATAATATACTTTTGATTCGTTGCAGTTTATAAATTTCGTTTGTATGTAAGTAATTTGCTTTTCTAATCAAGTGTCTCGTTGGAGTCGCGTACGCGCCAAAAAGGCGATCTTAATTCTACTACTGTCCATTTGTATCAACGTAGATTATAACTTTAATCTCGATTTAACTTAGATTTTTTTATCTTTTCTGGTTTTAAGAACTAGAGAAAGATAAAGAGTAAAGTTAAATCGAGATTAAAGTTAATCTGCATTGATAGAAATGAACATAAGTGATTTATTCGGGTATCGATTAATGATAATCTCTGCTTTTGATTACCAATCAAATTTTCATTGGCAATATTGCGCTCGCTGTTATTATTATCATCGATGTTCGCGGCTTATTTCGCGGTTTTCGAATAATTTGACGTTTTACGTCGGGACTGACAGGGGGAGGATGCGCATCCAGAGCATGAAACGCTTGTTTCCGTTTCGCGGCAGATACTGTCGTTGCTACTCCGCGAGCCCGTACTAATACGATACCACGCATTTGACGAAATTACAGGGCAATTTCCATCTAGAACAATACACATTCTCTTGAATGCGAGACATTATTGATATTATCGTGCCACGTTTTCTTACAATTCGTAACATAATGTTTATTATGTGACCGGATCGGGTATCTTTTCTTTACGCCGCAAGCAGCCAAGCATTAAATTGAACGCCGGCGGTAAATTGCACGGTAAAGAAGCCCGAGTCTGAATCACCGTGAGCATTGGACGGAGGAGAGTTAAGAGACTATCTGTCGTTTTTATCTCTGTAATAATAACATAATCAAAATCGATGCGCCGCACGACGACGTTATGAAAAAGAGAGAAGGCTAAAACATGAATACGCACCGCTGCATGCTGCTACATCAAATTGTATTACGTTTATCGATTCGGAGATTCGAGTAATCGTATTTCCATTAGACTTTCAAATCTATTTTCAAGCGAAATTAATAATTCTGGCGAATCCGCGATACGGAGCGTGTGGTACATAGCTGAAAAATTAAATTCACGGAGCACCGAGTATTCGATACGTTTATTATTATTAATTTATCACACATCAGATATCACGTAACGATTTGGCTGGCGCGAGACGCTCGGCGCGGTGCGCGGCCTATTATTTACATTACGCGGTTACCTTGATGTTTCGCGCGGCGCGACCGAGGTTGCGGCGGTCGGGCGCGCGGGCAGACAGGTAGATGGAGTGAGCCGCATGACGACGCATTTATCCTTCGAAACGTGAAAGCGACAAGGTGCGAGCGCGATACGATACGTCTCAATCGCGATTATTCCTTACGAAAACTCGACGATGATCGGATCGCGCGACGACTCGTTATCGAAGTGATACGGTCGTTCGCCAAAACGATCAATGTCTTTATTTCGCGAAATTGATGTATTCGAATCTATATAAATCTAGCTCGTCTATTACTTTTGTATTGAAACTTCTGAATGACACATGTCGGATCGAGTAACGGAGAGATGTGTGATGTACCGGCTGTTTAATAATTGGCACTTGTTTTTCACGGGATTGCGTATGATGTTGAATTAATCCAAATTCGAATAGTCCTTTTGTTTTATGTAATTTTTAACTCTTAAATGCCACACCTCTCAAGAATCTCGTAAATGACACATGGGGTCAAAAAGACCCCAGCATGAAAAATGTCTCCTTACTCACTGATTTTTTTATATTTAGTTATGAAAATTATTTTCAATGTTGTTCAAGGCTTAGAAAAGAGAATAAAATGCTTATATTGTTAAAATTTCAATTTCAACATAGTATAAAAAATTAAGTAAACTGAGTACTGCTAAGTGTACAAACGGGTAGGTCAATCACTCAACTATCATCAATGGAAGGAGCATGAGCTCCATTTTTGGCAAGAACATTTGAAAATATTTCATTCTAAAGGGTCTGGGGTCCGCTGGACCCCGGGTGGCATTTAAGGGTTAATTCGACTTTATGAATCGCGTCGTATCGCGTGGTACAAACTGTATTTTTTTTTTTGTTTGAGATTGCGTTAATTTACGAAACGTCGCGAATGTGTCGAGGCCGTAAACTGCGACATTAACAGTTTTCGAACTGTAAACAGAGCGGAAAATAAAGTTTCTCACGGATTAAATTTTAGAGATAGACCTTTCTCAATTCGGAATCGTAATTTGAAACTTTGTGTTGTCAAGAAAGTATATTGAAATTTTAAAAGTTGTGCGACACAAGTTACTTTTATATCCTCATTGTAGAATTCGACTTAAGTTTTTACATGAGAATCAACGTATGTTTGACACAAGGTAAGCCGAATATTGATCCGGAAATCGCGAACGCGTACATTATACGCATTTCTAGATTTGCTCGTCTCGATTCTTTTTTTTTTTTGCTGGTGTTTCCGGCTTTTAGGGGTTTATTTTCCGCGAATGTCGGCGTCGAGTGCGCTGCCGATCGCACGTAAGAACGTAAGCACTTCGCCGCGAGGGCTTTTGTCTCGTCGGCTCTTTGTTTCCCGTCGACGGGTGTCTCCTCGGCGGGTCAATGAATCGGCCTGCGCGCCGCGACGACGCCCGCCCGTGGAAATGCATTTCGTTCGATGCTTCGGGAACGTGGCGCATTGTTCGACAGTTTGCGACTTCGTGCCGACGTCGTGTTGGTCGTCCTCCCTATCGCACATCCATGGTATACGTGTGTTTATGTGTGTGAATGCGTTATATTAAATTGTCCCTGAAAATGTTCAATCTTTTCCCACACATTTTATATCCTTATTTTATTCTGTAAGTTTCTATGGCTATAGAGAGGCATAATTTTGGTTTCAAAAACATTAAACGTTAAATTTTTTTTTACAATTTATTTTTGTAACTAAAGTATAAAATTTTGAAGAAAAATTATTCATGTTTAAATATTTAACTAATATTTAATTATCTTCTCCGTTCCACTATAAAATCCGTTTTTCTTTTATAAAAAATTTGAAACGCTATCCATTTTATGCTTTTTTGTTTCAAGCATATTAAGCATTTTGGTATAATCAAGCTGAGTACAAACTAAAATTCTGTTTCAAAAAGTCTAATCGAAATTAAACGGAGGGTGGGAATTTACCGTCGCTTGCAATTTAACTTTAGATATCTAAAAGTCGCCACCTGCTGTAGGGCGTGTGTGTATATGCATCAATAGGAGGCATTTGCGTTTGGATGCTCACACTCGTGTGGAATTCGTCCGGCGAAGCTCTGTTCGTGGACATTGACGTAATCGTGTCCTAGTTGCACCAGTGGCTATTACGCAAACGTGTTGTTATCGAATCGCGACCGCTTCTTTCTCTCGTGCCTCGGGAGAAGCGCGAAGAAATGGGGATTCGTCATCCCTTCGTGAATCACGCGTCAGTTATGCTGATATCTTTCCTCAATATTTGCACATTGATTACCATCATATGTTACAATGTAATCTCGTCATGTATTATCATCTCTTGCCGAGTAGCTTAACTTTAGAATGCGTGCCCTGTCGATGAACGTTAGCTCGAAAACTCAAATAGCGAGAGGGTATTTTCAATAAATTGAAATCGAGTATACTGCTGAGAGATAAAAGCGTTGAAAGTTTACTTAAAATTAACGTAGAGAAAAGAAAAACGATTTGAAAGTGTCGAAAAAGATAAACGCAAGATCTTGAGGATCGTTACACGCATTCTAGAGGATTAATTGAGCCGATTCGTTAACTTACGAGACAAAAAAAAATAGATCTCACGGAATTCTTTGACCATTCTTTTCTGACCATTGTTTTTTTTTGTCGTTCCAGGAGATGGCTGTGCCACTCACGCCATTGACGGCGATCGCACAGACACCGCGGAAGGAGCACGAGTCCAAGTTCACCTTCAACCCCCATCTGGCGAAGGTAAGAATCAATCGATACATCCAACCCACTCACTCACCGTAACTGGCTCTTACATCTCGCCGATCAAAATAGCAAACGGGGAATCGAGAGTAATCACTACTCCGTTTGAAAAAGCGCTTTGACATTCGCGATTGCTAAAGCTAAAGAGGACGCCTTAATCTTTCTATGTTACCAGCTATTTCATAGAGAGAATATTTCCGGTTTAGTGCAAATAGATTTTTTCCTATTGTTACCTTTTTTGCGATTTTTTATTCGAAGTAGTAGTAATAAAACGGAAGGTACAAGAATGAAGCAATACAAGATGCTTTTGAAAGCTATAAATAAATGTTTTATTTAGTTCCGAAGTGAGAAACGTTCGCTTTTTGCACGGCGGGGAAAGAGTTACAGCTTATCGATCATGATATTAGAATTCAAACGAAGCAGAGAACCGTGCGACGTATATATCGCGGTAACGTTTCAATCAAAATAGCGTGAACGTGAACTTCGTTGTCGAGAGCGCACATATTTTTGGGAAAAGCGAGAGGGACGAGTGTGCAAAACGGGGCGAGATTGACTTCGCGCCTGTCTCTCTCGCGAGCGTGATAACTCACAAGCGTGATATCGATCGAGCGGCAACATTTTCGGGATCGTTCGTGCCACTTGGCATGATGTCAAGCGTCGCTCGGTGTGTCGGTGTGCGCGTACGCGTGTGTGTAATTCCGCACGTGCACGTGTATATATGTAAAGACAGCGGGTTTTGTCGAGAGAGGCAGTCGCGTAATGTCTTATTTGCGTGAATTAGCATTTTACGAGTGGCTCGAACGATAATCTCGCATTAAATCACAGTGATAACGCAGAGATTCGCGATAATCGTACGCGATGTAGTCGAATCTACGCGCGTATACGTATACGTCTCGCACACATATTACTACTTCTATGAATTGGTACCAAGAAGAGAGATTTTGGTATTACGTTTAATTAGTTACCGATATGTTTATCACTTCGCAATTAGCACATAATTTCTAATGACAAATTTGAATGAAATTATTGGCGCGTTGACATTTGCGGAGATGTCGATCGTCTAATTGAGCGTTTAATCGATCGGAATTCGCGTTCGGTTACCGTTGTTGAAACACCGTTTTGACGGGCGGAACATTTGATACCTGCGGGCGAGTAATTCTGGAGCAATCATGTCGGCCGGGTGGGAAATGTCTCGGATCGCATTAATTCGAGCTAGGTCCCGTGCTACTTGGCAACGTATCAAGCGTTTGCTGCTCTCAAAAGCTGCAGCGCGCGGGCCATAACGCGCGGCGCATGGAGGGACGCGGGGTTGAAGCGGTAGGGTCGACCGACGCTCGGTGAAAGAGAGAGAGAAGGCCCATAAGAGCGTCGGTTTAATTCGGGGTACGTTCTTCTCGCAGCGGCGTCTCTTTTGCGGTGATACTCATCCGACGTAAAAACCCCGTCGCTTGACCGCGCTGCGAAAAACGGTGTTACTCTGTAAATAAAACTGCGGACGAAACTAATCCGTCCGTTCACTCTTTTCAGCCGCTTGATAAAAATCTTATCGCGATAACATTCATAGATAAAGCGGATCATTTACTTTCCCGATATGAAAATCTATACTTTCTGTGCAATCGTTTAGATACGAAAGAAACAGTTAAATTTATTTTTAATGGACGAAGTGTCAGGATTCTCTAAACTATAAAGACAATAAAATAGTTTATCTTATTGTCAAATGTGAAAAAATATTTAATTAAATGCATTATCACGAAGTTAAATTATTAGATTAGATTAATTTTTATTCGATTTTATAGTGTATATCTTTTCAGCAAATTTTACGAGAATAAAATTAAAAAACCATAAAATAGGTCGCAAAAACAAGAAAAAGAAGCTTATATATAAAAAGTCATGTACAAAGAATAAATTTGTTAAATACCGAGTTTAAGAATAATTGCATATTGACTGAATATTGAACAACATAGTGATATTATACAAAGGAAGAAGGGGAAACAAAGGAGAGAAGGAAAGAGAATAAATGCATTTACTATTGAAAGGTTTAATGATTGCGTAAAAATTAGCTTCTCTAATTTATGCGCGTTATTTATCAATCGATCGGATTTCCGAAAGCTTTTATACTTTCACCGGTTTTTACTCACCGTTTATCACACGCTGTAAACGATTTATAACGTCTGGTAGGACTTTGCATGATATTTGCAGCCCAACACGCTGCAGAAGACCGCATTGCGTATTATAAATTTGTTTCTCCTCCTCTCCTCGTCCCGCCTATACGAGACTGCGGAAGGTTTGGCGAAGAGCTGGGGAAAAAGTGCGCGCGATAAAAGAGGAGGGAAAGGAGACGCGGGGACGACGAGACCGGAGCGAAATCGGCCTCGTAAAAGTGGATTAATTCGGACCGCCGTATATATGGTGTATACATATATACCTTCCCGCCCGGGGGATCCTTTTTGCGTGCGCGAGTAAATTGTAATAATGGCCGAATGCAAAATCGCTGCCGGCGTTTTCTCCGCTCAAACGTCGCGAGAATTACTCGCGGACTTACCGGGGAATGAAATAGCGCGGGCGCGTTCGCGAAATTGCGTAGCGCCCGGCGCGGTGGTTTCCGACCGGTGGTCAACTTCGCGCTCTCGCTGATGAAAGGAATTGTTACGCAGTATAATACCGGCTTTTTGTAGACGGTATAATTACCATTTAGCAGGTAACTTAAGCAGGTGCGTACGCTTTGTAATTCAGATACACGCGTCGCGTGTGAGAGATATGGGAGTTTATTCTCTATCTTTTCTAATGCTATATGTCGCACGTCGCGTAATATAGTAACAGAAATAATTATTGTTACTCAAATTGATGAAATGTTTCGTGCAACGTAGACTATTAACAATGCAATTGCTATTCAATTGGAGTAGCAGTGACAGTAATTTGTCTTATAATAGCATTGTCGTTAGCCTGATTTTTTTTGTACGGTATTAATTTACGGTAGACACTTGGTTGCACGGCTGCAAGTTGATTATTCCGCGTGAAGTTTCGCGGTGGTACCGGCGAGACTGAGATGTTATTTCATTCGCGATTACAAGAATGCGCGTAAAGGGCCGCAAAACCGCGCGATAAATTTCTATTATGCCCCGGGAGAAGGTGCTCCTTGGGTATCAAGGGAGACGCAGGGACGCGTTGTAAATTACTCGATGCGGAAACGAGAAGCGAGGAGACAAAGTACACTCTCGCGGTTCCCTTTACAAATTTTCCCAGATCCGTTTAATTTCCCGCTGTTGTTTTCACGACAACTTTCCTCCTTCGCTCCCTTTTGCAACGTTAAATCCTTACCGACGTTATTTGACAAACTATGTGTAAACTATGCCCGAGCTATTTGCCGTGTGCCATTTTGTAGAAGCGAATATAATTTCCGGTAGGTATGTGCGCGACGACGTCTCGTTTGACGAGCTAGTTTTCTAAGGACAGTAAATTGAATTCTGCAAGAAGGAATTGACCGAACCGCGGTATGATCGGTTGGTCCTTTCCGGCGGAATACGATAATACGATCCTGAAAAGCCTGATTGTCCTGAGTAAACTCTTACGAGTTTTGAATTTTTCTTTTGCAGTTGACGGAAGTCGCCCCGCCAGAGCCTGCGAAGCCTCGTGAGTATCCACTTAAAGCTCTTTCTTTATTTCTTACACTTTCTACAAACTCTGCGTTGGATAAGTCATGTACACGAATGAGAGAGCGTGACATGTTCTCCCCGATTGTAATTCTTTGTCGTGGGAATAATACCGAGAAAAATAATCATTTCTTTTGCGCATTACGCAAGCGTGTAACGAGAGTCATTTGCATCGACGTAATTGGTAAACAGCCTCTCGTTTACGCGCACTTATTTTCATACGAAATCACTTGTTACATGGGAATATTTAATGATTATTATCGTTTTTTCTTTTTTTTTTTTGAAAATTGGACGCGCGGCAGAATTCTCGTCACGCACACCGCTGCATGTTCAAGTTGAAGTTTTATTAACGTCAGCTCTGAACGCGTCGCTGTCAACTTTCGAGCCAGTATACCGCAATTTTTCGCGATAAAACACACGTTGTGTGTCAGAATACGGAATATAGGATCACCGGCGGACATAATTTCTGGTAACTGTCCGCTACATTCGCCGACGATCAAAACGCAACGCGCCGCGTATATTGCTCGAAATGATATTTTATACTTTTTAAAGTCATGCGCACAGTTGAATGGATATTAATCGGCGCGTCTGTAATTCGCGCGTGCAGTATCGATACGGAATTCGCGGGTCGATGCGACAGTTTTAAATACATATCCGCTTAACAGCGTGTTTCCATAAAAAAAAAAAAGAAAAAAGATCGGGAGAAGCATTCGTTGCAGCGGAACGCGCGCCACCGAACGTAAAACCTGTGGATTCCGCGCAAAATCCCCCAATCGTCGATTTCGCGTGTGCGATTTCATGAATCAGCCATTCGACCTCTGACATTCGTTCATTTAGCCGCTTAAGCGCGCGAAATACGCGTTATTTATTTCGCTCGTGCGATCCTCGCGCGACTCATTATTTATCGCGGTTACGCGGGCCGCTTCGCACGAAACTCGGTCCTCTGTAGTTAATCTCGTTTTCTTGCAACGTTTGTATCACTGTGAATTCATAGCTAGATGTTTAAATTAAACGTCAAACACTTCAGAATAATCTTAATTTTATTACAAATAGTCTGAGTGAAAGAACTTTTATTTTTAATATTTTATTGGAACAAATAGATTGAGTTTTTAATGGACATGTATACCCAAATATTAGAATTCGCATTATAAGATTGTAAGTTCTTCGCATAAAAGATTGTGATAAGGAATAACGGATTTTCACGGAAATACTTTTACGTCGGTTGTGTGCGATAAAAGGGTAACGACGGCTTGAAAGCGTTAATATTCGCATTGGAAGCATTTAAATATTTGACATCTGCTCGCGAGTACTACCGCAGCGCACCGGAAACCTTTCGGAGCGCGCAATACTTTTATATACATTAAATTCGACGTTACGGAGACCCCAGGGGATACGTTACTATTAAAAGTAAATTAACACTCTGTGTTAATAGTCGCATTAATATTAATGTTAATGTCACGATTTACTAACATGATATGTTTCGTTAAACAAATAACCTGTTTATGCAGGAATTAATTACAGACCCCATCGAGAGTTGCATTCATTACAGCAAACTAGTAAAATAGGCTTTGATCGATCAAACTGATTAGCGCGCGAAATCGATTTTCGCGTCGAGCGAATAATTTTCGAAGGAATCGAAATCTTCAAGAAAATCTACGGCCGCTTCGCTTAACGAGCACGTATAAGATCGCGAGAGAAAGATCTGCGGATTCGTCGATATTGCGGCATTTCGAAACGTGGCGGAAAGGGTTACTGTTTCATGAATTAACCATTCCTTCCCCCTCCGCCTTTTCCCATCGCCGTTTCCTGCCTGATACTCGAATGCCAGTGGCCACTTTACAACGACTATTATCAGGGTTACAACCACCCCTCGTCAACGATTGGGAGTCGGGACGAATTTGCTTCTCGTTGGGTAACTAGTCCCCCGCGATAAGCCTATTTCGCGCCCTTTACACGATTGTATTGTGTGCGAAAATCGCGTTTATTAAAGGAGCAGAGATTTGATTCTTAAAAATAGGATGAGCTATTACTGACAATGAGTATCTTTTTTTAAATTTTTATTACTGTATTTTCTTTTATAAATAGGGAACATATTGAGATGACAGGCAGTTTATAATATGTATAATATTTTAATATAGATTCTAATAATATAGTAGAATTATAGTAGTAATAATAATAAAATTCTTTTTATATTTTATAAAAATATATGAAGTATAAATAAGATATTTTAGTGATCATTCTAAAAATGATCAAATGATAATTATTCTAACAGAAGATTAATGGTTGCGCAAATTTTGATTTATAAAAATTACTGTTTTTGAACAGCATGAATAACAGGTTGTTTGATGGAAGAAATTGGAATTTTTTATAAATAACGACATTATAATCATCTCGTATTTTGCATATGCAGTTGCGGTTTACAAGTGTTTTCTACGCAATTGCATTAAATGAATGACATTTCTCCGTAACCGTAAGTAATTTAGTCGGTGAGAGCTGGAAATTGTAGGGGGACGCCAGATCTTCTGGAAAGAGACAAGAATATCCGAACGAACGCCCACGTTTCTTCCTTTCTTCATCGGAATTTCGCGGAACGGCGTCGTATATACCCGGGACCGCGCGGCGCGGTTACGACTTATCAATTTATTTCTCTCCGGAATCACGAGGTTGACAGTTTCCCGTTAACGAGGTCCGGTATATCTTCCGCGAACTGCAACAAGGATTCTTCCACCGAAGAAATCCATTCGTGCGAATTTTCTCCTCGGTCGAGAGGGCCGCCCTCGCAATCGGAAAATATCGCTTTCTCTGAAAATTCGATTCGGTGCGGGGGAGAAATATATACTTGGCGGAAAAGTCGGAAGTAGACTTATATCATTTTATCCTCCTCGTTATGTCACCGAATATCAACGAGGTATAACGAGAAACAGGGAATTTCGATGTTGTAAATGGATAGCTTTTGTATAAGTTTCGCGCAGACGAAGGAGAACCGTCAATTTTACCGTCTATGAATCCGCGTTTGATTTTGGTTGAATCTTCGCGTTTGAACTCGTTGGCGCAGTGAGTTTCGATCGGGTCTGTACCTCGACGCTCCATTGAGCAAATTAATGAGGACTGCGCGACATTATTGAGCCACGCAGGCGCGCACGTGCAACATCGTCGGCATGTAATACCAAACGTTGTAATATCGTGATCTGCGAGCTTGCAGTATTATTAACGCAGTGCAGATTGCGCAAACGTTATATCGAAAACCGCTTACGATTTTGTTACGTGCAAAATAGACTTTAATTTTCAATTGACCAGGTTCTTCAATCAATTTGGGGTTCGATTTTTGGTCAGCGTTCTTCTCATCTATTTTATCTATTGTAATTTAGAGTTGAAGTTGATTTAAATTTTTGAATCTATTTGGCTAATTAAAATCTTTTTAATCGCTTTATCGTGAGCAATCTAAATTTAGAATTCATATGGAGAGTTTATTTTTACTTTCGCCAAAGTTCTCCCAGTCGCTCCCAACTACGTTCTACCTGTTCAGATCTCGAAACTAGTTCACCGCGGGAACTCTCAGTGGAAAATTCCCCGAGGGCTGCAGTCATATTCAAGTACTTCGTGGAAAAATCCCGATGTTCCGTTAATAAATAAGGAGCGGAGAAGACTTAATTCCGCGAAGCGTATCGCTTCTTGATTAACGCGCGAGAGGCAAAAGGAGTCGAGGTCGTGTCGAGCTGATTAAGAGAGGAGGGAGACGCGTTAAACACCGGAATCCCGACACGCGTGCGATACCCACGCCCACGCCTCACGACGCGATGCACGATGCTCTTCTCTCTCGCCTACCTGCACGCGCACGCGTGCCTACGCGAGCTAAACCCATATCCATCTCTTCCACCGAGGGTAGCGTCGGTGTTAATGAGCGAAGGCGCGATCGCGTGACCGACGACCTTTGACGAACCTCGGGCCGTAGATGCCGCCGGGGGGGGGGGGGAAATGAGGGATGAACGACTGTGCCGAACCGTTCATTCTTTATTCACCCCAACGATCAAACAACTCGACTATCGCGCGTGAAATTTCTTTTCTATTGGGAGTTCTCGTGATATCTTACGTCGAGCCCTAATGTGGCTAGTAAACTTCTGTATTGAGAATCTGAATTATTTAGGGACCTGAATTCCACATCGTCCTAAATCCAGGAAAATTAAAATTGCATGTATATCTTTGCTTGGAATTTTTTTAACACATTTACCGCCAATATTTTACGTGACTTTCACGCCAATTGAATTATTTTATGCTAAAACGAACAATTTAACGTTTAATTTATAGTATTAAATTGCACAAAAATTTATTAATTATTATAAATGATAAATTATATTATAAATATATTATAAATTAATATTTATTTAACTGTCGTCCCATGACGGTCACCGATGATGAGGCATAAATGAAAAATGTCAATGTCGATCACTGGTAAATGTGTTAAATGAAAGAATATAAATTGCAATAAATATTTTACGTCTTACGAAAAAGAATATGTGTCGTCTGTTATAAGTTACGGTATAAAATTAGCAGTGCAAAATAAAATTAGCTAAACGTGTGCTAAATTTATCTTTTCCAATTTGTCATTTTAGAATTAACGTAATTTAAATCTTCTGTTATGGAGTGTTATCGGGTTTCTCTTTAATTTTAGGTCCCTAGATTTTTACGATGGGAAAGATAATATAAAAAAAGTTTTAATGGATTTTTTGGAAAGTTTGGAACGATCAGAAATGGGAACGCATCGAAAGCGATATCGGCGAATATACGCGAGTCGTAAAAGTGTCCGGCAAAACGGCATTTTGACGAACGTCTGCGAATACGCGCGAACCGGGCGGAACGGGGATTACGATGAATTACTACGTGCTTCGCGGAGTCATCGCGAAATTCAAGAACGGACGTCGATCAATGTCGGGTTGGTTCGACGCTCGACCCAGTGAGGAGCTTCGGTTTCCGGTTCCCGGA